TTCAACAATCCACGACACCGCTGTCTGACGAATCCGTAAAATTCAGCGTCGCCCCTCCCTGGCGTTGCGCTTCCGCACGCACAATGAGCGGACAGACAGACAAACAGACGGACAGACAGACAAACAGACGGACGGACGTACGGACAGACAGGACTGACAGACAGACGCTCCCCACAGCGAAGCGTGGGAAAAACAACAAACGTTGGGGCCACAGGACATCCCGAGGAGCCAAGCTCGGGAACTCCCAGTAGGGAGCGCTCGCTGCCGCGAGCTTGCTGCTGAGAGGAACAGAGGCCATGATGCCAAGAGGCATGGGGTCCGTGTGCTCCTCGAATTTCACTGCCCCCCAGATCGCTGCGAGATTTTGGGGCGATGAAAATCCTGTTGAACCGCGCCCCGGAGCAATGCTAATGGTCGGCGCCCCCGCGCCACCGTTGGGCACGTGGGACAAGAGGCGCCGCCAGGTTGGCCCAATCTGGACTTCTCCAATGGCCCAATGCAACCAGAGTGGGGCTGCCAAGGGCGGCGGATCTGCCGACGAGGCCGACAAGGACCGATGCACTTCGGATGTTTTTTTCCAGCGCCCAATGCATCCGAACGGATCTGGTCACTGGCGCCTTGCGGTCAAGGCAGCGCCCCGGCCTTCGCCCCCACTGGACTCGGAAAACTCCGCAAGCCACTCGGCTGCTGCCAGCTCCCCGCGAGACTGGGCCATGGCGTACCCAAATGCCGCCACGCCACGCCAGCCCCCTGACCAGAACAACGCCGAGGGGCCACCAGCACGCAACGCGTCGGCGAAGCCTCTCCTGAAGGCATGCGTGCCCCAATGCTGCGCGTCTGGTAGTTGCAGTGCCGCAGCTGCAGCCTTCAGAAAAGCCAGTGCTTGTACGTGATGTGCGCGAAGGGAGCGCCAGCGGCCTCGGCTGCCTCGCGCAACGCGCACACTCCGCACGACAGCCGCCTTCCCCCAGCACACAGGGACTTCCGCACGACATCCACAGGCACTTTGTAGCACTTCCGCCTCCTGAAGGTACGGATCGCACTTGCATCGCCGCCCTCGCCGTTGAAGCGAAAAGGGGCGAGCTCTGAGCCCAGCGACAATGTTTCAGAATACCTGAGGCAAAAATGGCGCGAGACCACCCAGGATCTGGCCAAATCAAAACGCCCTGCGTTGTTAGCCCATTCGGCCAGCAGTTTCGTTTGGGCTGCTGTGACGCCCACACATTCGGACGCACATGCGATGCAAATGCCTTGTCTGCTCCCCGTGCAATTCTCACCGTGTCAGCAAGTTCCCCAAGAGGGTAGCGCAGCAAAGCCACCACTGAACGAATATGGTCGCCCCTAAATTGCGCAGCGATTTGGGGGGCAGGAAAATCCTGGGAGCGGGCCCCTTGGTGGCCTCTTCCCCTCGGGGCCTCTGCGGCCTTCTATGCTCGCTCTCACTGCTTGGCAGTGCCCTGGCGGCGCGGCGGACCTTTCTCACAGTCGGTGGCCGCTGGCCGGCGGATTTGGCGGTGCCACGCCCTGCCTCCTTCCGCTTGTCCTCCGCTTCTGTTGCTGGCGGCTGGTTGGTGATTGATTGGCAGGATTCTCGTCCCAGACTGCCCCGCGTGCTCGGGTAGCACCTGTGGCAGTTGCTGTTCGCTCTCGCCCCGGCGCCGGCTTCCGTTCAAACGCCTCAGCGCTGGCCACCCATGGTTCGGCTGGTGCGGTTGCGTGTCGCTGGTGCTCTCGTCGCCACTCTGAGCCCTGCCCGTGCTCTCGTTGCCACGGGTTGGGGGTTGGCACTGCTCGCGCTTGTCTCCCGTTACCCGCCCTCGTCCTCCCTGTGGCGCTGCGCGCAGGTTAGCGTCGGCGCCCCTGCCAGGCGGGCCATTGGAGTCCAGATTGGGCCAACCTGGCGGCGCCTCTTGTCCCACGTGCCCAACGGTGGCGCGGGGGCGCCGACCATTAGCATTGCTCGGGGCGCGGTTCAACAGGATTTTTTTAGCCTCCAAATCGCGAAGCGATTTGGGAGGCAGGAAAAAATGACGACGGAGCGTACCGTCATCCACTCTTATCCTCTTAGCCTCTGGGGGCTTTGGTTTGCGTACAGGGGCCATTATGGACAAGCACTCTTGTTTCATATGCTTGGTGCCCTCCTGAGAGGGCCAGCGGCTCTGCCTTATGCGCGTCGTGCTCTCCCGAGAGAGCAGGTGGCCCCGTCTCGCACACTCGGTGGCTCCGCGGGAGCTGGCGGGGCCCGATGCTGGAGGTTAGGGGTTTGCCTCTTGAGCCTCTGGTGCTGGGTGCTCTGTGTTGTTCAAGTTCGAAGGCCAGCTCGTGGGTCCCCCGTCACTGCTGCTGTGTTGTTAAGGTTGGCGCCCAAATTGTAGCCGCAGATTGTCTTTGTCTGGCGCCGCTGAGCGCCATTCTCGCACCGCCGAAAGTTCCAGTTGCGGCTGCATGTGGGGTGCGTCTTTGTTCCCCGCCCTCCCGCCCTCTGGGTTGTTTTGCGCTCTCTGGCCGGGATACTGGTGGCTTTCGCCCCAAGACATCGCTGGCCAGACGTGCGATTAGTGTTTGCCCTGTGTACGCACAAGGGCGCAAACCCATTGGAGGAGATGGAGGAAGATTTTCCTGCCCCCTCAATTTAGGGACGACGAGAGAAAATGCCGAATTTGCCTTGACCACTGCTCGACTTTCGCCGCAGGGATGGTCAAATGGAGTTCCTTGGCCACTTGGTCGAGCTCCACGTTGACGCCGAGGACGTGCGCAGAGGATGCTTCCGACACCCTGTTCCGCTGTCCACCTGCAGAGCAGCCTCCCTTGGGGCTGTTGCGGCGCTGACGCGGGCTACTGGCGCCAGGGCGTTCCGCCCTGCACAGCAGCCTCCCTCAGCGCTGTTGCGGCGCTGGTGCGCTGGCGCCAGGGCATTCCGCCCTGCAGAGCAGCCTCCCTCAGGGCTGTTGCGGCGCTGGGCGTTCCGCCCTGCAGAGCAGCCTCCCTCGGGGCTGTTGCGGCGCTGTCACCGAAGTTGACCGCGGGAAGGCAATGGCGACGAGGAGCGGCGGCGAAGTGGCAACGAGGAGCACCAGCAGAGAGCCACGAGTTCGCTGGGAGAAGCCACCGCGCACGCCGCCAGCGCCAAGCAAACCAACCGACCAACCGAGGGAGGAAGCGGAAGAGGAGCCACCTGCTGCGAAGCAGCCCTGGGCGAGTGAGACCAACACACGTCGCGGTCAAGCGCGTAGCTAACCGAGGCATGAAGCCAAGATGCATAAAGGCAGAGAAGCACACTCATGTGCGCCCTGAAGATTTTCCTGCCCCCCAAATCGCTACGCGATTTGGGGGCAACTATCTGCAAGACCCCGCAGCCGGGACAGCCCAGCACAGTCGGGGTATTCAACATGGAATCCCACCAGCCCTTTAGGGCGTAGGTGGTCTAGAGCGTTTCCTCTGCCAACCCCCCTTCTTTCCCTTCGGGGAGGGGTTTACCCCTCCCCTTACCCCTCCCCACTGACCTGGACGAGGCGTCCCGCGAGGTGTCAGGGACGCCCAAGATGGCTCAAAACGGCTCCAAGAGCGAAAAAGCGAGAAAGCACAAAACATTGATTTTCCTTAGGTTTTGGAAAGATTTTGGCCTCTTGGGGGGGCCCAAGAGGCGCTTCGAGGCACTCTAGAGGGGCAACCCTAATTGGAGCTCCCTCCTTCTTTGATAGATCTCCTCCAAGATGGCCCCAAGAGCGCCCCGAAGGCTCCCAAGAGCGCCCCAAGAGCGCCCCAAGAGGGCCCCAAGAGACCCCAAGAGGCCCCCAAAAAGCCTCTAAGAGGCTGCCAAGAGACCCCCGAGAGGCCCCAAGAGAGTTCAAGATGGCCCAAGACGGCTCCAAGAGCGAAAAGGCGAGAAAGCAAAAAACATTGATTTTCCTTAGGTTTTGGAAGGATTTTGGCCTCTTGGGGGGCCCAAGAGGCGACTCGAGGCACTCTAGAGGGGCAACGCTAATTGGGGACCCCCTCTTCTTTGATCGATCTCCTCCAAGATGGCCCCAAGAGCGCCCCGAAGGCTCCCAAGAGCGCCCCAAGAGCGCCCCAAGAGGCCCCAAGAGGCCCCAAAAGGCTCCCAAGAGGCCTCCAAGGCTCCCAAGAGCCCAAGAGGCTCCCAAGACGGCTCCAAGAGCGAAAAGGCGAGAAAACACAAAACATTGATTTTACCTAGGTTTTGGAAAGATTTTGGCCTCAAGAAGGGCCCAAGAAGCGATTCGAGGCACTCTAGAGGGGCAGCGCTAATTGAGGACCCCCCCTTCTTTGATAGATCTCCTCCAAGATGGCCCCAAGAGCGCCTCGAAAGCTCCCAAGAGCGCCCCAAGAGCGCCCCAAGAGAGCCCCAAGAGGCCCCAAGAGGCCCCCAAGAGGCCTCCAAGAGGCCCCCAAGAGACCCCCAAGAGGCCACAAGAGGCTCCCCGAGATACGCAAGAGGCCCCCGGGACCGCCAAGAGGCCCCAAAGACGGCCCAAGAGGCCCCCAAGCTCGCCATTGTCCTCCTCCTCCTCCTCCTCTTTTTCTTCCTCCTCCCTCCTCCCCCTCCCTCCTCCTCCTCCTCCTCCTCCTCCTCCTTTTCCTTTTCCTCCTTCTCGTCCTCCTCGTCCTCGCAGTCCTCCATCTCCTCCTCCTTATCTTCCTCCTCCTCCTCCTCCTCCTGCTCCTCCTCCTGCTCCTCCTCTTCCTCCTCCTACTCCGACGACGACGGCTCCTCCTACATCCTCCCCCTCTTGGGGTATATGGCGGCTCACCCCGCCCTCTGTTCTTCTGCATGCTCCCCCGCTTCCCTCATAACCTTCACTCCCCTGGGACTCATTTCTGGACGGGCTGGTGGGGATACGCGAAGCGTCTAGAATTCTCCATTTTCGCTTGGCGCCGCCTGGCAAGGCTGGCCGCCGAGGGCGTGAGAGAGCTCGGATTCCCCATCAAAACGGGAGACTTCCGAACTAGAGCAGCAAGGGCTGCTGCTGCGGCGCCACTCAGCGCACTTCTTTTTGGACTGCGTCCAGCCGCCGCGCTGTTGCCAGGCGTCCTGCTGGCCCCAGCCGCCCTGCATGCGGGGCCACGGGCTGCGCGAGCGCGGCGGCGCCACCGGGGGCAGCGACCGCGGGCCCGGCACAGCAGCCCCGGAAGAGCCCTTCGAAGAGCCATCCAGCTTCCCCTTGCCGCTGCTGGCCTTGCCGCCGCCCTTGCCGATGCTCGCCTTGGCCGCCTCGGAAGCGGTCCTTGGCGTCACGGACCAGCTCGGTGTCAAGCTTGCGCATGAACCGCTTCCACTGGTCGTCGCCCTTCTCCAAAGCTTTCGCCATGGACCTCCGGGCGTGCATGTCGTAGTGGTACGACGTCCGCGCGCCGCCGCCCTCCTCCCAGAGCTTGCTGAGCAGCAGGGTGTAGCCCAGGACGTCCACAGGTGTGGCGACCTTCATCAGCACGAGCTTCATGCCCCAATCGAGGAGGTGCGACTGAAAGCAAGCGTACGAGGGGTAGTCCAGCTCGCACGCCCCCTTGGCCTTCTTGAACTCCGCCATCTGGCGGTGCCGCTCTGGGAAGCTGCCGTCCCCCACGGGTACGTCGACCCGGGGGAGCTTGGACCACGAGCGCCGGAAGTGCTTCTGCAAGTCCTCCCCCTCGGCGCTCCCGACGAAGAAACGCCCTTTCTCTTTGGCCACCCGGCCAGCGGCCTCGAAGACGGCCAAGTTCTCCTCCGAAGGGAGCCCGTCTTCTGGAAAGTTCTGTAATCCGAGCTCGGCGACCCGGTCCGCCAATTTGAAGGACAAGGCCTTCGCCGAACGTTTCTGCGCCACCCAGGCGGATTTGCACCGAGAATGCCCATTCGAGCGAATCTGCGATGTTTATTTAATTCGAGCGAATCGGCGCTCGAAATGCCAATGTGGGCAAACCGCGAGCGACCCCGCGCTCAGGATGCCCATTGGGGCAAACCCGCGCAAAGAATGCGCTTCCGTTCGCGGCGACGCCGAGAGCGCACATTCGTGCGAGCCGGCGGCCAGAACGCCCACATGGGCGAAACCAGCGCGCCAGAGCCAATCCAGGCGAAGTGCGCGCAGTTGCGCTTTCGAGAGCAAGCGCCGCGCAGAACGCACAGGAGCATGGCGAGCCCGCGCACAACACCCGATTCAGGCGAAACCGCGCGCAGAATGGCCACTCGGACGAAAACGCGCCTGGAATATCCATTCGGGCGCGTATTTGGACGGAGAGACGCCCAGAATGCCCGTTCGGGCGAAACAGAACCCAGATCGCCCATCCGAGCGAACCGCGCACAGAATGCCAGATTGGGCGAAAGCGCGCCCGCATTTCACACGAGCAGCCCCGCGCGCAGATACATCACCTTGCCCAGATCGCCCTATCGGACGACCGCGACAACAATGCACACATGAGCGAACACGCGCAGAGTTCCCCCACTGGGGAAAACGCACCCGTCCGGGCGCAGCAGCGTCCGGCGCAGGGCAAGCCACTACGGACTGAGAGAGAGGCCGCTGGCCCGCGAGGCCGCGATCCAAGCCTGCGCTGAGGAAAGAGCCGCTGCGCCATCCAGCCACAACAAAAACCCGTCCGGGCTAAGGGAAAGCCGCCGGGCCTGGCCACGGGCTAAGGGAAACGCCACCGGCCGTCCGGCGGCCACGGGATGAGCCAATCCCGCCTGGTTGTGAACCAGCCCATCCAGGCTGAGGGAAACGCCACCGAGCCATCCGGCCGCGGGGCAAGCCCGCCGGGCTGAGGGAAATGCCGCCGGGCCGTCCGGCCACAGGGAAAAGCCACTGGGCCGTCCGGCCACGGGGCAAGCCCACCCGGGCCGAGGGAAATGCCGCTGGGCCGTCCGGCCACGGGGCAAGCCCATCCGGGCTAAGGGAAATGCCGCTGGGCCGTCCGGCCGCGGGGCAAGCCCATCCGGGCTGAAGGAAATGCCGCTGGGCCGTCCGGCCACGGGGCAAGCCCACCCGGGCTGAGGGAAACGCCGCCGGGCTTAGGGAAACGCGCTGCGGAGACGCTTCGCAGAAGCCTCGCAGGCGCCGCGGAAACGCTTCGCAGACGCCTCGCAGAAACCTCGGAGACGTCTCGGAAACGCCAGGCAGCAACCAACCAACCAACCAGCCAAGCGAGGCAACCACGGCACGCCCGCCGAGCGGCCGAGCAGGCTGAGCGCCATCCGGCGCCACGCCAAGCTCCCAGGAGCATGGCCGAGAGGCTGCAACCAACCCCCCAGCCAACTGAGCAGCGAGGACGAGGAGGAGAGGACCACCTGCCGCCCAGCAGCACCCAGGCCGTGAGAATGCCCCAGCCAAGGACGAGGAGAGGAGAACCGCCTGCCGTCCAGCAGCGCCCGAGCCGTGAGAATTCCCCTATGGTGCCAGGAAGCGGAGAAGCCAAGAGGCCCCGAGAAGGCCTACTCGCGATTTTCCTGCCCCGCCGGGCTAATACAATTGGGCTCTGGCCGGTGGCCATTTGGTCCGCTACGGACGGACTGCTGAGGCGCAATTTTCGGGCAGTCCGAAAAATTTCAGCGCGACGACGTCCGTCTGCATTAGCGTGGGATGAGCGGAAGCCCCTTCGCGTGACGCCACTTGGCCAAAACAGGCCTTGGCACGCTGAAAATGACTCCCTACTCACTCTGGCCCGGCGGAGGGGGAGGAGCAGGAAGACCCATGCAGTTCCCCTGGCCGCTGAGCGGTCAGAGGGGTTCGACTGGGATCGGCGTGGCACTGCTGTAGCTTGCATGGTTTCGCCCCAAGGTGACCCGAGTGGCCCCCCTGGCCGCGATCAACGTCAAAGGGGGGTCGCCGGGATGTGCAGCAGCGAGAGCTGTGCGAATTTGCGTCCAGGGACGGCGGAGCGAAGCGGACGACTCTCTCCCCTTCCTTCCTTCGCGCTGGGGCTCAAGCGGCCGACGTGCCGTTGCGACAGCTGGGCGCGATCGGAAAACTGGCTGCTGGACGCAGGTGGGGGTGCTCAAGGGGCTGTCCCACAGAGGGAATGGCCGTGTCAGTCGCGTTGCCAAAGGCTCCAGGCGTTGTCGACACTACATAGCCCCATAAAACCAAAGGTTTCGATGAAGGTATCTTCGGACGGGGCTGCCCGCGAGCATGATTACAGAATCAGACGTATGGTTGCTCGTGGCATGTCTGTGGCCAGCTCTCTCTTTGCTTCGCCGGGAGAGAGCCTTCAGGTTTTACCTGCGGCGTGCGAGGTTGAAGCGCCCCTCGTGCAAGGAGTGAAACATGCATTGGCTCTTCCGGAGTCGTCTGGGCTCAGAGTGATTGATTGCTCTTTGCTCCACGCTCTCGCCCACCACCTGTTGTAGCAGTCGGAGTCATCACATCATGCCTCTTGAGTCAGGAAAATCTTCCTCCATCCCTTGAGTGGGTTTGCGCTCCTGCGCGTACACAGGGCGCACTCATATCGCACGTCTGGCCGGCGATGTCTTGGGGCGAAGGCCACCAGTATCCCGGCCAGAGAGCGCATAACCCACGAGGGCGGGAGGGCTGGGAATTGAAGCAACCCACAGGCAGCCGAAACTGCAGCACTCGGCGGTGCAAGATGGCGCCCAGCGGCAGCAGGAATAAACAATTAACTGCAGGTGCAATTGGCCTTCAACCTTGAACAGCATAGCACCGGTGACGAAGGACCCACGAGCAAGCCTTCAACCTTGAACAGCATAGCACCAGCGACGAGGGACCCACGAGCTCCCATCAGCAGAGGCCTTCGACGCGCCTCACGTGCCCTCGAGGAGCAGACTCCCAATCACAGTTCCCGCCAGCTCCCGCGGAGCCGCCAAGCGTGTGAGGCAGGGCTAGCTGCTCAGGAGCACGACGCAAGGCAGATACGCCTGCTCCCTCAGGAGAGCACCAGGCATGTGAGACAAGCCTGCTTGTCACTAATTGGTCCTGTGCCACGAACGCAAACCCCAGAAGCCACCAGAGGCCAAGAGGAGAGGAGTGGATGATGACACGCTCCGTCGTCATATTTTCCTGCCCCCCAAATCGCCAGTCTTTGATCGCTAAGAAGGCAAGTGGCTGAAGTTGTCGAGCAGTGCCATCGAAGAGTGGCTCCACTTCGTTGCGGACGCGAACGAGCCAATCAGCCACGATGAGGCCCGAGTGATGTCCGAACAGATGGGCTCAGCAGCGCCGTCGGACTTCGTGGACCCGCAGATGCGAACTTTCATCATCGAAGGCATCCGCGCAAACACCACGCCGTTCCAAGACGACCCTGAGGGAACGGAGTGGAAGGATGTGCGACTCACCCCTGCGCACATCACGGCTGCTCTTAAAGTGCAAGCTCGGGCAGCAGGGTCCCAGAGCAACGGCCCGGCTGGCAGCGTTGAGCCTGGCACCGGGACCTCGCCAGAGCACCTGGCGAAGGCGATCGAGGCGCTTGCAAAGGCAACGCAAGAGCGAGACCAGCCCAAGAAGGAATACTTGTCTTTCAACTTGAAACAGCGCCTGGACGAGCTCGGTCTCGGGAATCTCCCTAAAGATATGGTGCCCTCGGAGGAGGCTATGATTCGGTTGGAGAAAGCCAGCAAAGTCGCACGGGACCAGGGCCGCCTTTATATTGGGTCGGCAGAAGGAGAGGACCTCCAAGTCTCCTTTCGCCGGCCCTGGTCGCGCACACCCAATGTCGACGTGGCCGTCGGCGACGGCAGCTTCGAGGAGAAGCTGCGCAGCGCGTGCAGGCGAAGAAAACGAGGAGCTTGGAGGACAGGGCCACTTCTGTGGGATTCGCTACGTTCCATGACGTATCCTGGACTGGGGCGCGAGGATGGTCCTCACGAAGGCCATCACCTCCACGCAGTTGCTCGCGCACCAGATCGTACTCACCCGGGTGGCAGAAGAATGCGGCGGCTTCAGGTTGTGCACACACTACGATCTCTTGCTCAGATAGAAGCTCGCCCGGGAGCTTGAAAGGGACGAGCGGTCGCAGATAGAGACGCTCCTGTGCACTCCAGGACGTGCTGGCGGACGCGAAGAACAGCGCTGAAAAAGCGCGTGAAAGAGATCGCGAAGGCGGCCGCGCAGACGGGCCAGGCGTCTGGCTCATAGACTTGCTAACATGTCGCCAGTAAGCCATTTCAAGTGGGCGTTTGCCCTGCCTCCTTACTTAGCATCTCCCGTGTACCTGCCAGCGCGCACAGCTCAGTTCTTCATGAGAGAGTGGGGGCAGGAGCTCTTTACACAGCTTCCGGGCGTCTGCCTTAGCTTTCTGGCGCGAACGCAAGCGAGTGACAGATTTTGAATGCAGCGGGAGTTCAAAACACTCCCAGCACACGCAAGCCGTTTTAGATCCAACAAAAACTTGCTTTTGCTGGCAGAGATGCTGGAGGCATCTAGTAGCCCAGACGCTCAATTAGTTAAAAATTTTAGGCGTGGTTTCAAGCTCGCTGGGGAGATAGATCCTCCCGAGCGGCACGCTCCCCGCATGCTCACCTGTTCCGCCCTCGTCGTTAGAGGAACTCTGGCAACGCGCCCCTGCGAACAACGCAGCGCTGATTTTGAGAGCGGCTTCTTCTACCCTGTCGGATGAAGAAGCGGCAGCAGCACTGCGGGCGCAGACGGCAGCCGAGGTGGTGGCAGGTAAAGCTAAATGGACGCCGTTGTCGGCGACACTCAGCGAGGCGGTGTGTTCTCGACGTTTCGGAGTGGACGAGGGGTGGAAGTTTAAAGGTTCGTCTTTTGTGCGCGCTGTCCGCGCCATTGATGATTTTCACGCTTCCAATGTGAACGAAGCCACGCAAGTCGAGGGGCGGGCGCGTCACGAGCACCTCGACGCACTAGTAGCAATTGGCCAAGGCATCTGGGAAGCAAGTGGGCCAGATAGAGGCCCAGCAACACTTCGTCTTCGCGAGGATGACGTTGTAGGCGCATACAAGACTTTGCCGATTTGCGCGGAGGACCTGCCTTGCGCTGTGGCCGTT